ACAGTAAAGGCATCGGAACGTCAGAACAGAGACCTTGAACTGCGTGCGCTGCTGAATGCACAACCAATGAAGATCACACTGCACCTGCGCTATACTCCCATCTTTTGTTGTCCAGGTTCACGCTGGTAACGAGTAGGGTGGGCTGCATTTGTACTGGCTATTTTTTAAGTGTTCAACGTTGGGAGTAACTGCGATCTCGTCGCAGGAATCTCGTAAAATTTCTCAGTAATTTTATTTATATGCATTGCTGAATCTCAGTTCTATGGTCACTAGATTGACGCTTCGGTGCCTTACATGATCTCATTGAGTGGCGGGTAAACTTTGAGCACATGATATTGATAATCGAAATATGTCGATTTGTATTAGATGGGTTTGCATAATTTCCAGCGTACTGAAATGCATTGGATAAATGCTGACATACAAACAGTAATTTTTAAATTTTGTGGCAGAGCTTAACTTGGTAAGAATGATATGCTACTTCGTGTATTTAATCCTTATACCAGGTGGACGTGGGCACCAGACTTACCTTCTCTTTTATGGTTAGGAGAACTTTGTATGAGACACATTGAATTTCCCAATGCACTAGAGGAATTAAGAAGCACGAGCCTAATACGAGCGGAAACCAAAGTTTCGCGTAGTCGAGTTCTCGCTGGTCGAGAATACATGCACCTGTCTAGAGTTACTTACGTCTTCATAGCAGCACTTACGCAACACGTAAGTGGCTACGTATACGTAGCGATGATTTGATAATCCAGCCCCAGTCTTATAACTCCTCCCTCTATGCTCAGCGACCCTAGTGTAAAAGTTGCGTGCCGTCATCCCAACGTACGCAGATGCACATTGTGCACAACTAAATGTATTAACTATATATAGAGACGATCGCATGTGAGAAGGGAGGATATCTTCGTACCTAAAAAAACGAACCTATTTTGAAATTATTCACCAGTGTGATATGAAGATTGATGTCCGGAAAGTATTTCATAAACAAATCTCTTAATTCTCTTGACATAACTTCGGACGCATGGCCAAAGTATGGAAGAGAACAGTAAACAACGTTTCTACTATCAGGCTCTTGAACAACTTCACTGTTGTTCAAGTCTTACAACTTCACTGTTGTTCAAGTCCAAGAAGTTTGTTGGATTTATTAGCTTGCGTTTCAATATGCTTAGAAAATTTCAACTCCTTGACACAAACTCTCAAATTTTTTTCCATATTAGACTTTTCAATTATTACTCTCTCGTTGCAACATTGTCTTCTGTTCTTCGTTGCAACCTTGTCATGCTGTAATTTCGGTGTTCAATGGTACAACTGCCAACTAATTTGAATAATGGTCAACTACTAAGCAACCTGATGTTCGTGGCAATTAAATTAGATCGGATGCAACAAATTCGAACGGATATCCGGATTTGATCTTTATAATGGGCGGAATCCCGGGTGTTTAAGACTTCTTCAGTAATTGACATTGGTGACAACTTGAACAAATATCATTCTCTGCCTTCCATCTCTAAAAGGATGCCATAGTAAGTTCGACAGAATGCTCAACAACTTGTCACGCCCTGTGTGCGCAAATTCGTTGGTCACTGCATTGTCAGCGTCTTGGTCATTGCTGCCTTCTACCCAGTGACACCAATGATATTACACGTGTATTCATGTTTTACAAGACTCTCACACTTTAGCAAGGCAAGGGCAGATGTTGAAATTAAGCTAATCTCAGCCCCAGATTCAAGGACTGCGTAGTATCTGCTATTCTTCGCTGACACTTATCGTGGGAAACGACGCAAGAGGGTGTGAGCAACATTCCAGAATCAAGCACAGCGCACAGTCTGTTATTCATCATTAAAACTCTTAAAGCAACCTAACAAACATTAATAATTAATGAATTCTGACTCCCAAATCATATTCTGCACAAGCGGTCAAACAACTTGCCTTAACAAGTAACGCCTACATGACAAGACCGACTGTTTGCTAAGGATCTTAGGGAGTCTGTTTCCTTACCCTAAAATGATACAAGATAGCTATTATTACCCTAAAAATGACGGAAATATTGATATAATATAATTATGAATTATTGGCAATGAGCGTTATTATTTTCGATAAAACTAACAAGTAATCTGGTTACCTTGTTCTTTTTATCGTTGCTTAGTTTTGCTGACGCTTAATAACATTCTGGTTATTATAGTTGTCTGTGTTACGTGCGATCGTAAAGTCATTACTAGTGTTTCCGAGGCTTGCATTTGATAATTTACTTTAAAATATTTTGATATTTGTAAATTAGTCATTGTCACTCAGTAAGTATGATCACGTAACATCATGAGAGCTAATGCAGCTGTGGAAGCGCTATCATGGCGATACATTGATAAGGTGTTTTCCAGTGTTATCTTTCTCAGAAGGACGCGCTCGCAAGCGATAAAGAATTGCATCGTTTTTCCTCCATTCTAAATTTGATGATAGTTCAGGTGACAGTTTTCACCTGTCACGACTTCATTATAAGTAAGTGTAAGCGCATTTTTAACTTTCCTATACTGCTGAATTCCAAGCATTCACTTAACAAAATTACTTGGAGTCTTTCAGATTTTAATTAAATGAATGTTTAAATGCTGTAATTCCCCTATACAATCCCTTAATGATCGCTATATTCCAACGTGGCAAATTATGCTAAGAACACTCCATTGACTTATTAATCGTGCCTATTCGGTTCACTTAGTGAACATGTATTCCGCGTGAACTTAGTTGCATACGTTCAAATTTTTCTAATTTTTGTTATTGATGCTGGGATTTATTGTTTATTGTGTCATTCTTATAAAGTTTTGATTTTAGCAGCATACATTTGTTACAATAGACTAAGTTTTTGGAGCCAATGGTAGAAATACTTTGGAATTGTATTTATTGCATCAAGGCCATCACTTCCGACCTGAAGCGTGATGGAACAGTCATCGATGCAGCCACAGCTCCCGGCCTGGCTATTGATCAAGTTTACGATGGGATTTCCCTGTCAAAATTTCCCGAAAATTATACCGAACAACTCGAAGAGAAAATGTCTAGGATAAGCGTGGAAGGATCCTGGAAAAGTGTTTTGAGATGATATGCTTTCTTTGACACAATCAAGAGCTTGGCCTTTGCTACTGGCAGGAGTCAGTGACGCCTTCATTCAAAAAAATAACCTGACATAATAATGAGGTCTGTGCAGGCGTTAGCGAATCACTTACGATCGAGGGAGGTTCTTGATCGCCAAAACCAAAAACGACTTCCAGAGCCCAACCCAGTCGTCGCGTTACCTAGCTGTTCCGTCTCATGCCCCCACATCTGAAGTGTTGCTTCTCACTTCCTGGACGATTATTGAAGCAGGCAGAGATTTCTCCTAAAAACGCTCTTCTCCAATGACGCCTCCTAAGATTGATGCTCAAAACTTGTCGTCGTCGCCATCAGCTGGAGGATTGGGTACTCAATTATTGACTCCGAGCTCAAGTCATCCTCCACTGTGATTTGGTTATGCGCTTAAGTCGTGAGGAAGGTCATTTTGTGAAAAAATTGTTGCATTGATGAAATTTCTTGCCAATAGCAATATTTACAGGACCCCAAGAAGCGTATAAGTCTGATTTCTTGGTCCGATCCAATGCTAAGTGAGGCTAGTTGTGCAGATGAACGGCGTTAAAGATGAAGAGACTCTCCAGTCTAACTTTCGCCGCTTCCAACCGTGAAAATGCCTAGGCAAGACACACTAGACTGGTGAACAAGGATGTCTAGCGGCATCTTCATCTCAGAAGAATAGAGTCAATCCGAAAGCTATCTTAAAAATGTTTCATCTCTTTTTGTCCGAAGTACAAACTACTTTGAACTTGAAGATGATTCGGAAATGATTTTCAACGTAATGTATTTGAATGAATCATATTTTTTAAACATGTCATTTAATTATTATCGTCTGTTTGCATTGAACATTTAAAAGGAACTTGTAAACATGTGGCTAGACTAGTCATGGAAGGAAGGCGCGGTTAAAATGGACGTAAAGCGCGACGAGAACGACTTGCATGCCGGAGCTTCGGTCGGCGGAATACTGAGACGGTTTGGCCTGAATTGCCAAGTCAAAATCACATACTAAGGAAACATATTTTCCCAGTGTTACATTAGGTCTTATTTTTCCCTGGGTCAACTCTGGCGACATCAAGGAAAGGTTAAACTGTCATCATCATTAACTTTCTATTGACAGTTCGTATGATGAACTGAGCTTCAGTCATCCTTAGATGGGAGTTTTTAACCTTAGCATGTAGTTGCAACAATAAATAATTATTGATTTTGAGAGAGCTTAGTTGATTCGGGAAAGGTTTGTGAGCTTTTATCATGTCCAACAGACTAATGACAAGATGTAGCCACACATTTTCGTTGTGCTCTAATACTTGTTCAGTATAAAATTTACATCTTCTAACAGTCATTCAGCAATCATTGGATTTCTGCAACAAGGTTTATTGTTTTCATGGACTGCTGTTTTGCCTTCTTCGAGGGTTCGGTTTTGGCTATTTGGCGGGTTCACTTTATTTTTTCAAGTTTTTAATATGAAATTTATTCAGCAAATAAATAATAAAAATTCTCTTATCAATTACGTATTTAGGGCCGTATTTTCAAGACTAACTTAAGTACGCGTAGCGGCCTAAATAAACTTGAAAGCAGATTCCGCTTCTGTGATTGGTGGGCTTGGCTTGAAAAGTTGTCAGTTATTGGTTGACGGAGTTAAGAACTCTTGACAACTTTGGAGAGTTCTGCTGAAACAACAGAAATTAATTATGTTAAACCGAATATTTAATTTTATCTAAAATCATTTCCGTCAGGTATTTTGCTTTTACCTTGGTAATGACACATTTCCTGGTAGCAATTTTTTTTATTGTTTAGCTATGCAAAATTATAAAACTCGATTATAATATCAATTGTTTTTCCCAATTATTTAAACATTGAAAAATTTAATATGAGATTAAATTATTTTTTAATGCTTGGGTGCATTTACACGACAGGCCAGAAGTGCTGGAAGTCATCCGAGATGCCACGAGCGCGCTGCACCGACGAGATGTCGACCGTCCATTTAAGCGCTCTCGGCCGCTGTGACCGGTAACGTCTTTTAAAAATGCATTGATTTCTCGTCCTAATTTCCTGGTTGTGAAATCAATTCAATTTAAAAATCCAAAAGTGTTTCAATAACGTATAAATTTATTTTTTGATGAGATAATTCTTGGTGCTTTCCAGATTTTAAGGCTATCATTGATTAACATTCATTGTTTTTGGTATCTTTCCTTAATAATTATGTAACTGTTCATGGAATTATTCTTCTGGTCTTTATTTCAAACCTAATTATATTCATTTATAGCTATTATTATTTTAGAGATAATTTTAACATCGTTATCAAAATATACTATAATGAGGAATAGTTTTTCGTTACTCTCAAAATATCAGCAGTAGGCAATTCTCATTAAATTTTTATATAATATTTTGCTGCCTAGAATTTCCTGCAAAGGATGAGCCTTCTTACTGAGTTAGCAAGCTCTAATTATATTTTTCAATATTCGTTACTTCTAAACCATCATCTTTACATTAATTCACATCTTATAACAGAAATGAAATTTGATATTTTAATTTACTTCGCATACTGTATGTAAACGGAATACGTCCTTTGCGTTGATGCAAGTTATTTAAATATTCGGTTCATTAACCGTAGATTTATTGATCAAAACACCCGTCGAGCTCACTTTATCCATATACGACTCAACGAGTATATATATCGATATATAAACCGTTTAAAGCTTGAGCAGACATCCACGTTTTCTTCCAGGATTTCCTCATATATATAAACCCCACGTATAACCACCACCATTAACGTGCATTCCTCTTATACACTCCGCCGTCCCCTCTGTCGTTTACTCCACCGTCCATTTTGCCGTCCGCACTTGAGTTCATTCTCAGCTGTCCACTCAATCAATGCCAAAATGCCTTAGAGTGACCAAAAATTATTTGTATGAGCTTCCTAAAAATATAGGCCCGTCAAAAAATCCAACACACTGGATGAGAGAAAAGTAACTTTGAACTTATTATAAACGAGAAATAAAATAAATTGTAGATGACACAAAATGACACAAAAAAATAGAACGACACTCTTGAGTCAAAAGACATTAAGAACATAGACCCTCACGCAACCACTGCGGCCTCTGGCGGTCGATCATTTTAGTGAAGAAAATTGAGGTTCCTATGCAATAACGCATTAATTTTGCGAATAGATGCAGAAAAATCCTATAGCTTTCATAGTGCTACGAAATCCGGTCAAAATATTCATCGTAGAACACAAACAGAACATTGGTGTAAGATTATATATAATTAATTATCTTAATAGTTAATTTAAACTAAAACTATCTTTTTTACAGCTCAATTTGTTCAATTAACCTGCATGCATCAAGGTATTTTGATCGCCAAATTTTGGGTAAGAAACTTCCAGCCAAAACCTAAGAATCAAGTTTTCAGTGCAAGTTTTTTTTTCAAGGTTCGTACAACTTCGCAGTGCGTAATCTGTTTTCACTGGACTGAACTAAACCCAAATGCCCTCAGATCTTTCAATTTCCTTGTCAGATCAGAGCAGCGGGCCGTATAACCGGTAGATCGAACACCTGCAGTCTTTCCGATGCTTAGAAAAATCTGTAAGGCTTTGTTGCACTTTTTAGCGCATTTTCTCATTTATGGAAAAAATGCACTATTGTGCTCGCCATGTCCGTCCGTCCGTCTGTCTGTCTGTCTGTCTGTCTGTCTGTCTGTCCGTCTATCCGTCCGTCCGTGACCTCAAGTTTTCGTCGACGAGAAAATGCGCTCTCAGTCACTCACTGCAGTGAGTAATGAGTTATATTTTTGATTGCATGGGTCAACCCGACCAAGTTTGGCTTGTAAAAGAGCTCAAAGGGCGTACAGGGAAAAGATGTATTCAGAAGTGTGTCACACTTTGAAAATTTCTGACCGAGTTATTTTTCTAAGTAATAGTTATCTGTGTATGATGGTATGTTCTATGTATATCTTATCCTTCTTCATACACTGTAATTTCGATGATTACCCTGCCAAACGGCATCCTATCCAACTATAGCTGTAAGTCAATACCTTATGGGGAAAACTACGAAAATACTACAAAATTATTAACCTGCATAACTATTCATAACCGGTATAACAACGTTATGGTCTACAAAGGTTCCCAGCTGAAGTAAAAAAGATTTATACGACATTTTAACCGCTTAAGCCATGCAGTTATTAAGTCTATAGTTGATTACTTAACCTTCCTATGCGATGGTCTTCACTTTTCCTTACAATTTAAATAACACAATGGCATGGCAAATGAAACTTTTATAATTAAACACAGAAAATTTAATTCATTAAACAGAAACGGGTGTTTGCTAGCACCGGCCTATAGGCACGGTCACAGTCTTGAGCCTAATGCCGCAAGTTGGAATTATTAATATATGATATTGTCTGCAAAGGTTGAAGATACCATTAAGTACAGTAATAAATCCCAGTACAATTTAAATCAGACAAGGTTGCTTATTGAAATGACAATAAATATATACAGCGTCTCCACACCGTAAAGTGCTGGACAGCATCGAAATTAAAAGTGAAGCGTGGTGACGGAACGGTGAACAAATGCTTCACGAGATGCGTATAAACTGCTGCTACAGACATCATTTGCCAAATGTGTGGGTGGTTTCACGTGGTTAGTAGGTGTGTTTTCCTTAATTAACTTTATCAAACTTAATAAAATGGATTAGTTACTTAACCTGAAAGCCGTAAGCTATTGAAAATAGCAGATCTTGTGCATTTAGTTAAGCATTTTATTGATTGCAAAGTATTATGTAGGAATTTTTTGCTGCATGCAATATACATATTTTAATTAAAAAATCACTGTTCGAATCAATCACGTTACGATCTCCATTTCTTAAATCAATTTATCTATGTCACGAGCATCATTAGTATAGAAAAATTTCCCAAAGATGTCAATTAAAGAAATGTATTGAGTTACATGGTATTTTTTACACGCAAAACTCTTCCTTACCTCGTGTTCATTCGCCCCCTGAACAAATATATTGAAACGCATCTTGCTTGCCTTCGCTCGGCGCTTATCAGCGCGCGAAGCGACGCCAGAATTTTCGCCTGCGTTCCCCTTGTGCTGCTCTCAAATAAAAGTCACCGCATTTGTGGCAACGAAACTGATTCGTTATTGATAATATCAATTTAAAATGAATTTTTAGTCGTCGTAACCTTTTTCCAAATTCGGTTTTTATACAATTTCAAGATGTCGCGGAATATACGATATACGAATGATCTAAATGCTATTACTTTTTTACGAAACTACATAAAACGTTAATAGAAAAAATTCAATATTAGAGTAAAATTATTATTGGTACGTGGTTCCGAAATTAAATCGCACTTAAAATCAAACTCAAACGAACACAACATCGTGTAGAAACATTGCACCGTTACTGCCAACACTTCCAGCTATATTTAATGCAGATCCCGATGTAGAAACTCCCACTGAACATCACTAAACGCTCATCAAGCTGGGCCTCAAACAAAGAATAAGACTTGCGTCATTTCCCAGGAGACTTCTCCCTGCCTTTGTTCTAGCGTTATCGTCTCACTATTTCCTGGACACTGAAATGAACTCTCATGATGGCTACTCAGCGTGCAAAGTATCAACATTTTTTGGACCACAAAGCGACAGAGTCTTGCTAATGAATTCTCTTTAGGTTTTACAGACAGTTTGACGACTCATTATGGTTGCAAATTAGGATTTTTTCCGTTTTTTCGTTTTTTTAGCAGAAATCAGCAATTTGTAAAGTGTTACATATTGTATTTAGTCAATTTTTTTTAACTCATGGTCAATTTTTTTGAACTCAGTTTTACGGCATACAAAANGTAAACATTGATGGATGTTTTATTGTAGGTCTCCGTCCCCTGCTCCGAACCACATCATGGATGCCGGGGAGTACCGCCGCAGAGGTGAGTCACACTCTCGGCGGTAATTGACGTGCATAGATTAAATTATATTCACCTTTAACGTTTAAAAAATTTAAATACTTTAGCGCCATCGAAACTTTTGTTTATAATTGGAAAACTCCGTTCTGCAGTATTATCACCCTAATTGACTCTCAAACTACTAAATAATTTTTTTAGAATATGGTTATATAAAAGCATCTATTTACATTTACGATCGAATGCTTTTGGAGAAGATTTTCGTAAATTTTCATGTATACAAAATTTCTTTCGCTTTCTGGATGGCATGGTCTTTGTGGCCTCCAGTCTTCAGCATGAAGTCTTTTATCTTGTGTCGCCCCTCCCCCCCACCCGGCGCCCCGCTGACGTCAATCAACAAGTGTGCCTTCGATTCCTGCGTCTAGTCGCAGTCATTCGCGGGACCGCAGCGCCCGAGATTAAAATACGATTCTTTATAATTCTGCTGCTAACAAAAGAAGTCATTCGTGGCAGCCAGAATAATTTGTTCCAAACATTTTCTCCTTTTGGATTACCTTTTGATCACGATGCTTTCTCAACCCAAGCCACTGTTATGAAAAATTTTTTCCGCATCTTTCAAGGATCGTAATTTTTCATTAAAACTTGCTATAGATTAAAATTTTCAAAATACGTACAAGCAGGGCCGATCTTCACAACCCTGAAATAGTCACCAACATTTTTTTCAAAATACCATCAAATACTCGGAAGCGTTATCAAATAATCGTCATAAAAATTAAAAACAGATCGCTATGTTCATTGGCCTGCCTTATAGTCTCTAGCAATACCGAACAACTTCACGGGTTAATTATAGAAAATACATTATAAAACATGTGGTGAATTTTGTAGTGTGTAACAAGTTTATCAAGCGAGGGGAGGAGCTAGCAATCACCGAGACCGTTCGTTAACGCAATCAAGCTCTTGGCAATCGTCTGACCTCGCAACCCTGCAGGCCCGAACGCAGTTGACTTCTTCGCAGTAATGTGATGACGATGAGATAACGTTCTTCCCTGAGTGTTTCTGTAGGGTAACTCGGAGTAGCCGCAGCCAGACTCTCGCATAAATGAAAGAAGCTGGAGATAATTTCACGTCGTGCGCTCATTTCATTCTAGTTGTTTTCATCTCACCCAAGCAACTGGTTTAATGTTGAGTAAATCAAACTTTCTGCATGCATGTCGTTTTGTTTTCAGTGTTTTCGTTGCGTTCAATGACAGCAGTCATAGATTTTTGATTCCATTCTCTTTTAACGGAAGTATGCATTGTTCAGCACAAAATATTGTAGATATCAATATTTCTCAAGTCTAGAGTAAAGTTACAGGAATGAGATTCGTATTTGCTTGCTTTTTAATTAGTTTTGTAAGCTAATCAAACCTTGAACTCTGATTGAACCATAAATTCTCCAATCTTGTACATAACGAATAAAAGCTTGAGAATTAATTTGAATACTTAATTATAAAATTTACGTTAATTACATTAAGGCAATCGTTGTCAAACCTTGAAAATTTACGAAAAATTACACTGGATTACAAATTCTTATCTTTTTCTGTGACAAAGAAGAAATTACATTTTTCTGATTCGTTTTTTTTTGCGCTGGATTCATATATGAAATTGATATTGCTGTGTTACCTTTAGGTTTTATGCAATCTTGTGATCCGGTTTTTCTATGTTTATGCGTTAATAATATAGAGAATCAGATACAAAATTAATGTCATTTTCGCATCAGAAACTTGAGGACTTTTTTTATACTCGCTTGCTAACAACTTCAGGCTTTTCTTGCAAATTTTCGACAATAATTTGCAGTCATTGACGTGCTCAGTTTACCTTATACCGCTTTTCCACTTCACCTACCGATTTTTGTCATGACGAAAGCGTTCAATATATTCGTAAAATTGAGGTTGTCAAACTGAGTGTCCACTATATATGAGTTCCGATATCTGTTACCCACATATACACCTGCCATGATTTTACCCAAGTTATATTTAGGGAATTGTGTAATTAAATATTTAAATGCTTTACCATCTCGAACGAGTGAGTCAGCAAAATTTTTGATACATGACAAATTTTATATGTAGATGGGGAAGGATAATTTTACTGCGCTTCGTGAATTACAGTATATTCTTGACACCGGGTTCTAAAGGTGGTTTTTTAGGCCACTTCCATTTGATGTATGTAATGAACCGTCCTCGCTTGACTATCTCGCTCACATAGAAAGCAACAGTACCTACTTAGTATAACCGGGTAGTACTTAGCACAACAGGACTTAATGTCAACAACTATCAAGACAACACATCTGATGTGTTCTGTTCTTTGATCTTTCATCTTACATTTAAAGTAAAAATGGTAAGCTACTTCATCACTGATGTGATAGTACGTTTCCGCGAAACCAATATCATTTACCCTCAGAAATAAGAGTATGAATCCAGATATCGAAATATTTCTTGACATGTTAGATTGAATAAGGTCACTAAATTGCATAATATGGTCACATACAAACAGGTAAATAGTTGATTTTCATGAAAAACATATGAAACAAAGAACATGCTTATAGATGAAGTTAATACATTTACTGAAAAACCATGAAATCGACCGAAATGGCCTCAGGTGATAACATGGAAACTAGAGCAAAACGAACTTTTCCATTACTAGATTCCTTTTTTTTTATCACCCTCGAATTAGTATATTTTAGCTACTCTTGTTTCTGTCACAGTTGTTTTGTTGACCAGTGATCAAAATACATTTACTGAAAAACCATGAAATCGACCGAAATGGCCTTAGGTGTATTTTTTATATACAATTTAGCTACTCCTGTTTCTATAGCTACTTTCTCACCCAGAATAATTCATGATGTAACTCCAATAATTCAAATTCATGATTACAATCTTCCTCTTAATGCTGAAAATAAACATTAATTCTCATAAGTGAATTTTTTACGTCACGCTGTAGGCTACGAGATGGTGGAATACATCGCTGACTACCTCGAAAACATCCGCGAGCGACGCGTGTTCCCAGACGTCAAGCCGGGGTACATGCGCGAGCTTATCCCTAGCGAGGCTCCCGAGCACTCGGAGCCTTGGGATGACATCTTCAGGGACGTCGAGCGAGTCATCATGCCTGGGGTGAGTGTGCGGAAGACACGATTGTTACACAGGGATGACATCTTCAGGGACATCGAGCGAGTCATCATACCCGGGGTGAGTAAACATAAGACACTGAAACGCCTCATTAGTGAACGATTATAAAGCAATGAATTCTAATCATAAGATATCTGCACCGAACTTAAATAAATACGTCTACCTTCACACACTTTTTATTGAAATACATTCATGCCGTCGAATGACGACGACACTTGACCATCACTGTCATTACTTAGCGTTATCCATAGATAGGTTAGTGTTTTATTTTAATATACCTAGATATCTAGACCTATTATAATGTTAAAGTATCTTAGTCATTCGACATCAAGAATGGATTTAAATAAAAATTGTAGGAATGGAGTTTTGGTTCTTTAAGTTCGGTGCCTATATTTCTGATCAGAATCCATTGATTATGTCATTTAATAACTATTCTTAGCACTGTAACTGCTCCGTTTAATTCACTTAGTTTAACCAACACATGTCATCTAACAACATTTCTTGTGGAGCAGGTCACGCACTGGCAGAGCCCCAACATGCACGCGTACTTCCCGGCCCTGACATCCTACCCGTCACTGCTGGGCGACATGCTGGCCGATGCTATCAACTGCCTCGGCTTCACTTGGGTCAGCGACGCCTTACTCACTTAAAGTCAAATTAAATTTGAATTTATGTAGACCTATAATGGCAATATTACATCACGCATTAAACACGTAATATATTACACATCATAATATGGAAAATATCTATTATATTAATATTGAACAGAACCAAGCTACATCGGATCAAATAGTCTCACAATGTGATGTTGTGGAAGTAAGTTTCATGCGCTTGAGGCCAATTAAAGTTCACTATACGTTGGCAGGCATCTTCTCCGGCAGTGACAGAGCTCGAAATGATCGTCATGGACTGGATCGGCAAGATGATCAACTTGCCACCGGAGTTCCTTCACTCGTCGCCTGGAGATGGAGGCGGAGTCATTCAGGTATTGAATAATTCACCATTTCAAATTGCTACAAATAACATTTATCAATAATATATCTCGTGCTTATCTCAATCAAGCTCACCACTGTTTAGTATCAAAATTAAACAGTCTCTATTTCGTGGAGATGAAACGCTTGTGAACTAACTGTAAGCGATGCGTTCGTTGCAGACGACAGCGTCAGAGGCGACGTTCGTGTCGCTTCTGGCGGCTCGTACGGAGGCGATCCAGACGCACCAGCTGCGCTTCCCTGACCTGGACGACGCGGAGATCAACTCGCGCCTCGTGGGTTACTGCTCTGACCAGGTCAGCCTCATGTTCTATTGGAGCTCTGATATTTCTAGGTTAGTCATCGGCTCTGACGCTGTCTCGCTTTTGGTCTGGTGTGAAACCCAGACCAGGTGTGCATCATGTTTTGATACTGCCCTGACATACTCTGAAATACTCTGAAACTGCGCTCGTATCAACCTCAGGCTACCGAAAATGAAGTTTCGACAACATCAGAGAGTGCAACGAACTCATTTTGATACGTTAGCCCGAAATTACCGCCAATGAAAAAAAATTGTTCTAATTGAAATGCAGTCTCGGTGCCAACTCGGTCGATGAGTAGAACAGCCTCGTTAGAATTCAAAGGCTTCGAGACATGATCCTTTGAGACATATTCGGGACAATATATGAATTTTCTTATTGAAAATAACGCAATGCATTGCCTCTCAAATGAAACTGATTGACACGCAAAATTCCTGAAATTGAGACGACATGCCAGGCCCACTCGTCAGTGGAGAAGGCAGGTCTTATCGGCCTGGTCAAAATGCGCTACATCGAGAGCGACGAGAAGCTGAGCATGCGGGGGGACGAACTTGCGGCTGCCATCACCAGTGACAGGGAGAAAGGCCTCATCCCCTTCTTCGTGAGTCGTAATTCAAACTTGTAACGAGTAATTATTGTCAGTTAAGATTCTCTCAGAAGTCAAACTAGTAACGTTTAATTATTGACCATTAATATTCTCATTGCGCTGTCAAAATTCAAATGTGTAACGTTTCATTATTTCTCGTCAAGATTCTCAGTGTGTTGTCGAAAGTCAAGCTTCTAACGTTTGATCATTGCTAGTTAATATTTTTATTGCGTTGTCAAAATTCAAACTTGCACCATTTCACTATTGTCATTAAGATTCTCATCGCGTTTTTAAAAGTCAAACATGTAATGTTGCACTATCACGGTTAAGATTCTTGTAGTAGGGTTGCTTGGAGCATTGAAAAAAAATTGTGAAATGAAGATCTCAGGTAATTGAGCATCAATAAACAAAGCGCCTTTCTTCGAGAATCATTAAAAACTCGCCATGTTCCACTATTGTCTTTGAAATCTCATAATTCACGAATAATACTAGCAATAAAGATATCGTTAGCATTAATAAACCTCAAATGAATATAATTCGTTAAACTCGGTCACTCTTTTTGTCAGTCCAATCATTTTTACGGAGTTTCAATATTGTTGTTTAACTGTAATAATTTTTTACTATTTCGTGTGATAAATATAGTATAAACTCCAACTAATAAAACTTCTATTTGGTTTTTGTTAGTTGAATAATAAAACGCAACAGCGATGGCTGATGAAAAGAACACAAAATGGGGTACAGACCTCCTTATCACGAGAGAAAAGTTCTAAGACCCATTGACGTTGAACGCCGAGGCAACGTCCTAGTTATTGCTCCCATAACTCCTTTCTTTGCTTCTCTCGCGAGAACTGGCCCTAGCCTGACACTGAACTTCCATTGCCACCCGCTGACATCTGTACTTTTGACTCCATTTATTTTATACTTTGATAAAAATTAATACGAAATAATTCCAAGGTTTGGTTCTGTATATTAGTTTTGATCCCGGATAGCCAAATTTTCTGACGTGTTCGCTTTAATAAAGTAAATAAATGGACTATAGATTTTTCACGATGTAGTGAATTCTTTTATAGAATATGGACTTTAAGGTTGTATTTTTCCGATAGTGGATCTGCATATATCTAAAAATCCTGTTTGTTCCTAGTATTTCCACTTCGCATACATTTTATCTTAATAATCTTTAGTATTCTTCTGCAGAGGCCTTGGTTTGCTGTAAATTATATCGCTAAATGAACCATTTTTTTAAAGCTGTGCGCCACCCTCGGAACGACCGGCGCTTGCTCGTTCGATAACCTCGAGGAGCTAGGCCCCATCTGTAAGTAAATTGGGTGAATAATACTCCTGAAAAAATTGTTTATTCATTTACTTTATTGCTCCTTTTTTCAGCTTTCATATCTATTAGCTTAAAATTGTTTATTTTCGATTAATTTAGCAACTGTCATCATGGAGTAAATTCTCATCTCGCACAGCGCTATACAGAACGAATTATACAGGGTTATTCTAAATGATAGACTCAATTTAATATATTCGTATTTATTTAATTATAAATTTAAAATGAATCCTTTATACACCAATCGAAATGAAAAGATTAAAATTTTTTAGCTTATTCGAACGCTGAATTTGACTTCGGCGACGGAGGCGGCGGTACGGTAGCGTTGTAGCGTTGTGAGCGTCGGGAAGGACGCATAAGAAATGGAGATCTTGCTCTACACTTATGGCCACCGAGATCACCTGATCTCACCCCATGCGACTATTTCTTATGGGGTTACGTCAAGAAATCTGTTTACGTCTCGCCTCTACCAGCAACTCTGTTTACGTCCCGCCTCTATAAGCAGCTCTATTTACGTCCCGCCTCTACCAGCAACTCTGGTTGAACTGAAGAACCGTATCTCTGCTACGGTGCACTCAGTAACAGAAGATATGCTTTCTCGTGTGTGGGACGAGTTTTGCTACCATTTAGATGTTTGCCGTGCAGCACAAGGGGGACGTATTCAACATTAATAAATATGTTTAAAAATTGAATCTTTCTATTTCCTTTGATGTATAAATGGTTCATTTTGAATTTATACTTTATTAAATAAGAATTTCTTAAATTGGGTCCATCATTTAGAATAATCTAATACTTCAATCTTGCATGCAATTATGCACATAATGAATTAGAGATACGCATAAAATTTTTTTAATGCTTTATTGCTAATGCAGGCGAGAAAGAGAACATCTGGATGCACGTTGACGCAGCGTACGCAGGAGCAGCGCTCATTTGTCCCGAATTTCGCACGTTCATGAAAGGCGTAGAATACGCAAAATCCTTTGCATTTAACGCATCCAAGTGGCTGCTGGTGCACTTTGACTGCACCTGCATGTGGTGAGTAACAGATGGGACCTCTACTACTCACGGGCTCCACTAATACTTCTCGTGTACCTGTATGTGGTAAATAACACTACCTTTGTTACCAGCGGACTCCACTAATAAGGAATTTTAGTGTATTCACGCGGTAAAGTATTCACGCGGTAATTTACTGATGATATCTGAACTACCAAAAATCAGCAATAATACCGGTTATTCACCTGTCACTTACATTAATACCGGTACGTTTCTGATGGTACATCTACTACCAACGGATTTAACTAATATTACCTAATACGCTTCTGGCACCTGCATGTTTAAATGTTACAGACAGAGAATTTACTACGAATTGTCTAATCAACAGGGGTCTAGCGCTGGCATGTGGTATTGTACAGATTCTACATATATTGTATTACGCACAGTCGACAGCAATAATCCTTTAGTGCCTCCATTTGTTATGGTGCATATGGTAAAACATACCAAAATACCTCACTAAAAGCAAACGATATGTTGCTGACGTACGAAATGTTCACTACTAGTCTACTACGAATATTCTCCATTAATACGTCAGTTTCGTCTGCATGAAGGACAATTTATTGCAGTTCTGATCAGATTTGCTCGACAGTTTCTCTTTACATTAATGTCAGCAACTGGGAATCACTCAATTATTGATTGTTGTATTGTCAGGTTGTTAATTTATCTTAGCTAAATATTTAATATTTGTAGAAATCAATGAATGCAAAAAAACACACGCACAAAATTTAAAGATTCCATAAAAAACAATGAGAATAACTTCTCAATTCAACGGCCAGGGTGAAGAACAGCGGTTCATTGCATCGCACCTTCAACGTAGATCCAATCTACCTACAGCACGAGAATACCGGTGAGCAATTATTTAGAATTTGAAGAATGGTTAAATTCCAGAAATTACAGAATTAAATTGTTCTGGAGAAAGTGAACCTACTCAAGATAGTTATACCTTTGAGGTAGAGTACAGTAAACAAAAATTGCGACTGGCAAGTGATGTATATTGGAACGAGATTAATTATGATGAGCTGTCAATCTTTTTACTGTAATTACGATGAACGAAGACAGTGTAAAGTGTGTGTCTTATCCTAATAAGCGATTTTTCTTCTTAGTTTCTTAATTCTGATTTTCTTTTCTCTTCTGTCCGCAGGTATCGCTATTGACTACATGGCAAGTAAATTCTAAACGCTTCTATCTGTGACGCAGAAATAACTTTGTTATATTCATTATTTCTTACAAAAAATTCGAGGTATATGTAGGTATAGATTCTATGTTATTTAAACTGACATGTTTGCTAGGATCGTTTCGTTTTCGAGCGTCCACTGAAATGAAAATAATTACCTTAGATTCTGAAATTGGTTTCGATTCATGCGGCTTTCCACCTGCTTCTTAGGGTCAGCGACGATCGAAAACGGGCCGAATGAAATGGATTCGCTCTACTTTCCCGTAGTGCAGTGTTAACTTCTTTCTTAATTTTATATTTTGTACAAACATGATCCGGGTACGAAATGATTTATTTTTATTGTGCACAGCACTGGCAGATCGGGCTGAGCAAGCGCTTCCGTGCGCTGAAAGTGTGGTTTGTGCTGCGCAACTATGGAATCGTTGGCCTCCAGAGCCATATTCGAGAGGTCGGTTGATATCTTTTGTAAATCATGCAAGTTGAAATTATCGAATGAAGATAATGTTCATTATAAGTAATTCGAATTAGTCGTGCGATGAGCTGTGTTAATATCCTGATAGCTGGAATTCTCTTTGAAAATAATTGTATTAGTTTATCCGGGCTGTACAGTTGTTTTGGACACAAAATCAACGTATTCGTACCAATTATTTTCAAATTATCATGATAGTCTTTATGCCATTATCTGATCATTCTAGGATTATTTACTTCGGTTTTTGTCTTCAGAGCGTGCGCATGGCTGCAAAATTCGAGGCATTTGTACATTCGGATCCACGTTTCGAAATTCCGTACGAGCGGCACATGGGCATGGTGGTGTTCCGTCTGATCGGCGAGAATGAGCTCACGGAGAAGCTCCTTAAGAAACTCAACTCATCAGGGCAACTGCACTGCGTGCCAGCGAGCTTGAGAGGAACTTATGTGATCAGGTGCGCTTTGTAATCACCAATTACACCTGATGATGTAATTACCTGATTTACCAATTACCTAATGTAATCGCCTGCGATGAATTTATTTGGACTACGTAATAATGAAATTTAATATCGACCATTATACGGCTGACTATCCAAACGTTCCTCCCGACGCTAAGTTGGCTCAAATTTATCACCAATACATTAATTACATAAGAGAGCGATTCCCTTTAAGCATTATTTAAAATATTCTCTAACTTATTGCCTATCTGTTGAGGTTCACTGTGACGTCGCCGCACACGACGGTGGAAGACCTCACCAGGAACTGGTCCTTCATCCGCCACGTGGCGTCTGAAGTGCTCGCCAGCACCGCCTCCGTCGAGCACAAGACACGCGTGCCTCTCAAAGGTCTTTATTAATTTGTTAATCACATATTTTTATATCATTTTTTATTATATTTTACATTTCGTGCTCCAGAGGTTAATTTTTTGGCATCGGTCTGATACTTGGAACCTGAACTAAGACACTGTTGCAGTCATTTGTGAGATGTGTTGGTCACTTTCGAAATTCAAATTTCCTTAACACTGCGACGAAATAGTGGACGTAGTACTAAAACGTCGTTGTGTCTAACCAAAATACGTCAGTATATGGCCCACAAAAAGGCCAAAGGGATACTCATCCAATGCTCATTGAATATTAATTTGCTGGCAGAGACTCGCAAGAATCCCAACTTCGGCACATCGCTTCTGCTCGCCAACTCTCCGATGTCACCAAAGATCGTCAACGGCTCCTTTGCGGCCATATTTGACAACAACGACGTGTTGTACGAGTTTGCTAAGAAGCTCCAGCAGCTCAAACTAGACGTCAAAGATTCTCCTGGACGGGGTAAGCATCAGCATCCGTATCTCAAAATCCGTGTGTCACAGTATCGATTTTAGAAAAACTCATTCACCATAATTTCTGTTTTTTTTTTATGTAGCTACCACCAATTCAACTGTTTTTAGAAGATTGTTGTGAAAGATATAAAACTGTATAAGCCATTTTGAGTTTTGCACATTTTTCTGTAAGTTGTATATGTGAAAAGCATGATCCAAATTTTTCTTAGTCTTCATAGCAGCTGCAATAGCGAAGTTTTCTTGCCTTAATTTATCATTCGTATCCATGTTATGTTTTTCGCTTAAGTTCCGTATCCCTCGCTAAGTTGCCTTTCTTGTCTTAATGTGGCTTCAAATGTTGTAATTTTTTTTGTTCCTATTGCACACGTCTACCTTGTATGAGATTCTTGCCAATTCTGACTACTATTTATAATCAGACGACCACTATTGTGCGGAAAAATAATGTGCCATGAATGAACTGATGATAAAGCGAGTTGTTATCAGAAATCATTTTCAGATGCTATCATGCCATATTCAAGCATAGCTTCATTGCTCATATTGGGAGTGCAATAGGATCAAAGGTGGTTGTTGATGTTTTCTTATTTGGAACATTCCTTTAATTTGCTTGTAATATCGTCATTGTTTTCCTTTTGCTCGCTAGTGGGCGTGCTTTACAAGTCATTAGTGATATTGTACGTTCTGCTAAGAGGCTCCGACCGACGTGGAATAGGTGAGAAGTAAATCAGAACTTTTCGACGACGCATTTTTTCGGTAAGTATAATTATAAATTGATAAAAAAAATTTAGCATGCAATTATTTCCCAAGATACCTGCAATAATAGTCATGAATCTAAGAACATTGTAAGAATTGTTCAATCATACCTGTGAAATAATTTACCATCATTTACAGTGAAATTTTTCATATGTAAATGATTTAATCAAACCTTGGAAAATTACTTCGTATATAATCATATGAAATTTATTTACCTATTTAATTGGAAATTCGGGAAACAGCGTACGACTTTGTAGCTATAGGGTAAAATAATAAATAACAATAATATTTTTAGTTCGACTTACACGGTAGCTCCTGCAAAACCATGTTTGAAAGTTTTTCCGAGCTTTGAATTGCATTTACCAAATCATTTCAACAATTATCAGGTTCCAAGATTATGATGATCTATAAGAGACATCCAGAGCGTCAGGCCGATGCTTCAATAACAGTTCATTGTCGTTGATTATTGTGTCAGAGACAGCACCTCATTATCGTACTAAATTACAACCAATAATTATTCCGACGTAACATCCTGTTAGAATAGAGTCAGCTCATTATTCAATTACTGGTACGCGTTATCTTCTCATTTCTGCATCAGCAATGCGTCGCCGAATCCGTGGGATGCTGATGTCCGGCAAGCACTACAGTCTGGACTCTCGCATGGACCTCGTGCAATCTGTTGCTGCTTCCAAGGATCAGGATGATGATTCCAAAGAGAATCACTTGCCTCCCATGCGTGAGAGCAGCATGGAGAGTGCCAACAATTTCGATGGTTCATACAACCTGCAGACGCTCGACACAGGTACGACATACGCACATACCTGCGAAAGCTTCACTCACGCTCGTAATATCTGTATGATCTCGTGCGTACAAAGCTTATGAAAGGAGATGAAAGGATCAGAACGTCCAAACAGGCTTTGTTTACTTCTCAGTAGTTAATACCGTGACCTACAAAGGGTAATTTTATAATATTATAATTGAAATACTTATCCACAACAATGACAATATATAGATTAGGATGCAAAAAGTTCTTACTGTTAGACTTAAAAACTGTACTACATATCACTTGTACGAATATGATATTTACATTAGATACCATAAATTAATCAGTCTCATTACCATCTCTCTAGAGTAAATTCCGGTGTATTGGAAAACAGAGTTCGTTTGCAGCCCGTGTTTTTTAATTCGTGTGGTATCAGTATCCCCAATCGGTCAGTATCATCAATCAGTATCCCCAATCAGTGTTGGAATGATCTCATTGCTGCGTAACTGTATAAGTAAGATTTCTACCCACAAAGTAGCGAAGAAAGAATTTTTATTCACCTCGCAGTTTTTTTTAGAGAGTGGAGTACAGCTTTCCGGCTTAAGTGGCGCTTTTAATGATAAACTATCTTTCTGTTAGACAATTACTAATTAAATCTCTCCATTGTTCTTTAGCGTGCCAAACTGAACTGGACCTGCTTTTCAACGGAGGAAACTTGCGTCATCGCTCACTCAGCGTGGATGGCAATATGGACGACCTTGTTGCGGACACTAGAGGCCCAAAAAAAATCAATGAGGTTTTGTCGGTCCACAACGCGGAGGGCGGCAAGGGTTTGATGGTCCGTGAGCTGGAGCGTGGTACGGGCGCTCTACGCCAGCAGGGCACCGTCTACTGCCGTCACTGCGGCACCGAGTTCGCCGCTAATCGCTGAATGTTACGAGCTCCAGCTAATTCCGTCTCCTCGTAACATCGCTATCGATATTCATGATCCAAACCGCGTATCGTTTACATTGAATCAAATTTACCGTCAGTGAGAAAAGTAATTATCAATTGAATATGTGTGTCCATTTAACCCACTTTATTGACAATGTAGCAGTAAAAATATTAAATAAAACCAACGCCGTTAGTCAGTTGGAAAACTGTGTGCACCTCTCGCATTTGCACGATTAGGTTCACTCAGTGTAGGGATCGTTTTAGTCCTCATGAGATTTCGATGTATTAGTCATTATAAGGCATGTGTATTTTTCGATGTTGTGGTCTTTATATTAACCGTATCCGACGAAGATTTACGACAATATACTTATATACTTATTTAACAGAAAACACTGAATAAAGATCATAATAGAGTCCTAAATGTCATGATAAGAGGTCTTAAAATTTTCAGGATGCATTTAACGTATTTTAAATTTTATTTTTATTTTTTAAAATTGGTTTATGATTTTTTTGCTTGAAATTTATTTTTCAACTTCAACCACGTTCAAAATTTACAATCAGAATTTTTTTAATCTCACACATAGCAAGAGCCGCGAGCAAACATTGCACAGATACGCTCTATTTTGCGAGGTCAATTGGGTTTTGATTAATTACCCATGCAATGCGAAATGTGCATCGCCAATTTGAACAACATTCCTCTGAGTTATATAAATAGACGTTGATTTCTTTCTTTAATTTTATTTTTAACAAATCTGTATCAGCGTGGGCTACTTTGTTTTACTGTATTATACTGTAACTGTGTATTTGCATTTATCTGTCTCCATACGTTCAAAATGCTAGATGTGTTTAGTTAACACAGAGTTATATATCAACCGTTAACAGGTACACTAGTGTCCATAACGATTATCATTGCGAATACTAAAATTTTGTATAAAGTTAGTACAGTAGAAATTTGACTGTGGCAGTTTATTGACTTCTTATGACTAAGGTTATCTGTGTCTCTTATAAGGAACTTAAGAAAGATTTAGTCAATGATGCGATTTGGCCAAATCGACATGAAATCCGCATCTTCCTTCGACGTACGGGCTCTAGCACATAATATTTTAGCGCATAGCGGCATAGGGTAGCGTAAATTTCTCTTCATTTAATTAAGATAAATTGTCATAAATCTCTTTGCATATTCCCACATGATTGATGTGTGTATCTTGGTCTATTAAACAGTGGCTATTTAATGAATAAATTTTGTTTAAGGCATACCCCTTTTATGCGAATAATCGAAATAAGTATTTATTATGAAACTGTGTTTATTTTGTTAGTGGAAGTTACACAATAGAACCACCATTTACGTTATACTGGTTTTGTTGCAAAAAATGGCAATTTCTGTCACCTATCATGAACGGAAGGAAAATCATTCGAAAAAGTCCTTTAATGTATATACCATGCAGTAAGTGAAATTTTAGTTTTTAATATAAGAGTGAAAACTAAATCGGCATAAAATTCACCTTAAATCTGTATAATCTTTCGCCGTTGAGAACAAAAGCGTTGTCAATTAAATATGTAATGTCGCACAGTCTATTTCTATCTAAAAGCCTACTGGTCATGGAAGTTTCCTTCAGTGAATAGAGGTACGCGTTTGCTCCTGTCATGATCACTTCATGATGGCTGCAAATGGCAAGACTTGTGTGCTAGGGCTGCATGTCGAGGCTGTCAGACACTTTTACGAAACAATTGGTACGAATTTTTTAAATGAACTATCATAAGAAATTTTACTCGCATAACTTTGTCAAATCAAAATCGATCTAGCCCAAATTGCTGTTTAAAGCACGAATGAAGGTGAAATGAAAAAAAAGAAGCTCGCGAACGAAGGCATAATCGAAAAAATTTTCACGACCTAAGCATTACCATTCGGTAGTTAGGACTGTAAATTCAAAACTTCGTTCGAATCTGTTCAGTAGTTTGGAATAAATTACTTTATAACTGTGAATTTCGGCCCGTATTGCCATATAACTATGGCAAAAACAAACGATGGCAAAATTCGAAAAATTTTCACGAGAAAAACATTATTGTTAGGTCCTATTGATTATGAATATGTGTACCAAGTTTCATCGAGTCAAGTTCATTAGTTTGATAGATATTCCTTGATCATTGAATTTGGAAATTGACCGTAAGACCGGCCGTTAATTTGTCCGAGACGTAAACCCAGGAGAAGTTTAAGAAAACATATCTGGGTGAAAAAACCATTGCTGGGAGTCATGTGCTGCACGTGTGGTGTATAAATCGTCAAACAAACTTTAGACTTCTGACATTGTCTTCGGACTATCGCCCCCCTACCGCTCTCTTCTTTCTTACCGCCCCCCAAAATCTTTCCACCGCCCCTAGGGGGGCGATATCGCCCACTTTGGGAACCACTGATCGTAGAAAGTAGAAGGTGACTGTCTTCTCGTTCGCGACCGCCAGTGCGCACTGCGCCGTTACTGAATACTGCTTGCATCCGCCTCGGAGTCTCCTTCAGCCTGTCCTCGCTCATAGCCCCTGAATTTCCTGCTGATATAATTATCAAGTACCTCCAAGACATCAACATGCTTGACAACATTTAGTAATCCCCGAAGATAGCTGAATGGGGGCGCCAATACTTCAGTCGGTGACGTGCCTCATCTTAAACTTAACCAAGTAAGTAACTGCGCCGTTAGAAGCCGTCGAGTGAGGTCTGCAAAGATGGATACGTAGGTAGTGTGATCACATTCAACAACTCGAGTCTGTACGTCTTTTTTATACTCATTATTCTAGGCCTTAATTAAAAATACAGCGTCGGGAACAACTAAACCCTGATTAATAAGGTCTTCTTTCCGTCTCAAAATACTCGTTTCTCTCTTCAATTTGTTCAATTTTGTTGGAGTAACCATCACGGCAAAAACTGAAAAAGGATACTTTAATTCATATTTTTTGGAATATTTAAAAGAAAAATTGAATATCGTCTGGAATCAGCTTTGTTGGATTCCTCTAAGAAATATTATCGTTCAAACAAGCCATGATTCACTTTACACAAGATACTTCACACGAGCGGCACAGCTGCTCTCACCATATGGCGCATCAGCGCTACGGGACGCCTGTCGGAGACCACACTGCCGTGCTTCGAATGGACTATCATGATCCCTTCCCTGAAGAACGTAGCCTACAACACTTCTTGACTGTAAATGTTTACGTCCCGCCTCTAGCAGCAACTCTGGTTGATCTGAAGAACCGTATCACTGCTACGGTGCACTCAGTAACAGAAGATATGCTTTCTCGTGTGTGGGACGAGTTTTGCTACCGTTTAGATGTTTGCCGCGCACCACAAGGGGGACATATTGAACAATTATAAATATGTTTTAAAAATTGAATCTTTTTATTTCGATCGATGTATAAATGGCTCATTTTGAATTTATTCTTTATTAAATAAGAATTTCTTAAATTGGGTCCATCATTTAGAATAATCCAATACTTCAATCATGCATGCAATTATGCACATAATAAATTAGAGATACGCATAATATGTTTGTAATGCTTCATTGTTAATGCAGGCGAGAAAGAGAACATCTGGATGCACGTTGACGCAGCGTACGCAGGAGCAGCGCTCATTTGCCCCGAATTTCGCACGTTCATGAAAGGCGTCGAATATGCAAAATCCTTTGCATTTAACGCATCCAAGTGGCTGCTGGTGCACTTCGACTGCACCTGCATGTGGTGAGTAACAGATGGGACCTCTACCACTTACATGCTCCACTAATACTTCTCGTGTATCTGTACGTGGTAAGTAACACTATCCTCTGCTACTAGCGGACTCAGAATAGCGGACTCAATAAGGAATTTTAGTGCATTCACGCGGTATTTTACTGAAGATACCTGAACTACCAACAGGCACCAATAATACCAGTCATTCACCTCTTACTTACATTATAACCGGTACGTTTCTGATGGTACATCTTCTACCAACGGATTTAAATAATATTAACTAATACGCTTCTGGCACCTGCATGTTTACATGTTACAGACAGAGAATGTACTACGAATAGTCTATACTTAACAGAGGTCTAGCGCTGGCATGTGGTATTTTACAGATGGTACATATATTACGTACAGTCGATAGCAATAATCATCTAGCAATTCCTATGTTATGCAGCATATGGTAAAAAAACATACCAAGATACCTGACTAAAGGCAAACGATATGTTGCTTTAACGTACGAAATGTTTACTACCACGAATATACTCCATTGATACATCATTAAATAATCGGCATTAATTAATTAATCATTAATCAAGTATTAATTTAATTCAATTAATTAAGTACATTAATTAAATAATTAAGAAAACAGATCTGGGTGAAAAACCATCGCTGGGAGTCATGTGCTGCACGTGTTGTGTATAAATCGTCAAACAAACTTTAGAACTTTTGACATCGTCTTCGGACTATCGCCCCCCTACCGCTCTCTTCTTTCTTACCGCCCCCCAAAATCTTTCCACCGCCCCTAGGGGGGCGATGTCGCCCACTTTGGGAACCACTGACGTAGAAAGTAGATGGTGACTGTCTTCTCGTTCGCGAGTCGCGACCGGCGACCGCCAGTGTGCAGTACTGTGCACTGCGCCGCTAGAAGCCGTCGAGTGAGGTCTGCGAAGATGGATACGTAGTGTGATCACATTCAACAACTCGAGTCTGTACGTATTTTTTATACTCTTCATTCTAGGCCTTAATTAAAAATACAGCGTCGGGAACAACTAAACCCTGATTAATAAGGTCTTCTTTCCGTTTCAAAATACTCGTTTCTCTCTTCATTTTGTTGGAGTAACCATCATCATCATGGCAATCATTATACTTAAATTCATATTTTTGGAATAATGGAATATTTCAAGCGGCGGACGAACTAGCGGCTAGTACTACTAATCTACTATCCCTGTGTACAGGCACCTATTAGTTGTCCGCTTTGTTTTCATTTAGTGCGCCAAGACGCCTATTGGTGTTGCGTGGCGCAAAATTCGACTGCTACGATCACGGTTCACCCTGCCCTGCCCCTGTACGGCTGTACCAATTATTGAAAATGGGCACAGGGCATTTATTGAGCAATACCCTTGCCAAGGCAAATTTATTCTGCCGTAACTTTCAGGCTGTGTCAGAGAGTGCCGAGTGGTGACCTACAAGCCCCTGCAGGTCTGTACTGAACAGGCAACACTGCAACAGGGTTATTGTTGGAAGCTGGGCTGGAGCTGGGGAGTGGGGACTATAATTGCCCTTTCACTAGGGAAGAGCTGTGTCAAGCTGTAACTTGTTAGTCTTGTAAGATGCATGCAGTTGAGTTGACTACACCAGGCAAGGATGAAGTACATAATAGCTTCTTAAAGGCCCTCACTGATGTGATGAACATTATGAGTTATGATGCACTTTTGACTCTATACAATCAGGGTTTTCAACTGGGCATCCTTCCAACTTCCTGGAAAGAGAGCATTGTAC